TATTTCCCATCTTTCTATTTTGTGCCCCAACCTTTTCCCTAAGACCAACTCTCGTACGAATGCACAAAGGAAAATTGTTTCTCTTCTCGCCCGCATTTTTACACATGCGGTTCAGACGTGCAAAGCATGCATCTTAGGTGAGATGCAAATAGGTGGTTTATCTAACAACAAGTGAAACTAACTATTTAAATGTTTTTTTAATATAAATATTATTTTTAATTTTTAAAATTATTTATTTTTTCATATTCATGATCTCTGTAATAGAGATTGCATGTTTTTAAAAATTAAGTTCAAAAATCCATCTGAAAAATAAATTTATTAAGGGGCTTACATTTCTACATGTATGGGCCTAGCCTACATGCTAACCGCATACATGAACAAAACAACATACTATTTCGACTATTGCTTTTTCTTTTTCTTTTTTTGCAAATTTTTAAAAACTCTATTACCCAATGAGGCTTTCTAGAAATCTAGTTGACATGGTAAGCAGGCGATCTAGATCGACGAAACAGACTTGACTCTTTGGTATGAATTTATGAGAACTAGTCCAAAAAAAATTAAACAATAATTTTAAATTTCAAAATAAATAATAAAAAATTAAATTATGTAGGAACATGACCATTTGGGTAATTCAAATCACCCGGTTTTGACTGACTTGGCTAACTCTCTCTTAAAAGTTAGAACAGGTGAGTCTATAGGAATCAAACAGATTCCGGTTTTTTACTAGGATCCCAGTGGGTCCCCATTAATTTTTGAACTAATTAAACGATTATTGATTCAAACCGACAATTTTTTAAACACATTTTTTTGGCATTTAACCTCCGACTAAAAAAAAAGTCGAATATTAGTATATGGGTGCAGTTGGCATATGGATGCATCCGTAGCTATAGAGGTAAGGTGCACCTTCAAATTTTAGTATGATATATAAATTTGATGTGAAATGTTCTTAGGATTATCTCAAAATCTATTTTTATATCTAATTATAAAATTTTAAATTTAAAAAATGATTAAAATCAAATAGATCTATAAACATATGAAAATCTTGAAAATAGATGGTGTAGATACTAGGTTGTAAAATGTACTATTTTCTGGATTTAAAATATTTTTATTTTTCATGGTCATACATCTGGATGTCGAGATGACCAATCGAAGGGTTTTTCAATATTAAAACTACCTTTTCCCATGGATTTTTGAGATGCATCCGTAGTTCTACATTATATGGTTGCAACCTCATATAAGCTTTTTCTTTAGTATATTGAAGCTATCAATTAGAAGCCTACAGCTTCCACACATACACACAGCGCTTTTCCCAAAGGGGGATTTGCATAAAGCATTACCATAAAAAAAAAAAAAGGAAAATTGTTTAATAAGCAACTTTATTAAAATAAGTAAGCCTCACATCATAACTCATCGAAAAAAATTGTAATTCAGGCATTAGAAAAGTTTTACATTGATCATCTCGGCTTCAACATTATGTCTATGAAAAAAAAAAAAAAAAAAGGATTTCAAGCTTTAAAAATAATATATATTTTACAAATTGTGTGGACTATTCATTTTGACCTAAAAATAAGTGTTCAAAGATCCCTGCTCAATTTTTTTAGTTTCAAATTTTACTATCGGTGTTGAAATTGATTTTAGAGCCATTTGTGGAGATTTCTATTGCTAGACCAGGATTTGAAGTGTTTTCCTAAATCTTCTAAAGTATTATAAAAACTTTATCCAAAAAATAATAATATGCCTTAATAACCTAAATTGCCGAAATATCATCACGTTTCGTTACGGCGCCTCAATGCAACTTCCACAAAGTTCAAATTTTCAGATACAGCGAAACTCCATTAAGTTTTTAGACAATTTCGGGTCCGAGTTTAAGAACGTGACGACAATATTGCGGGACCACATTCCATTGATCTGAAATTTCGCCGAATATTTGGCGACCTGGCCACTTACCTGGCGGAACATAACAATCGAATAGAACCAGAAATATAACTATCTTTTTTTTTTTTTTACGTAGAACCAGAAATATAGCCATCAATGGGGCTTAAATTATTCAGAAAAAAATTTCCGACGAGAGAAAAACAAGAAAAAACCTTATCAAGATTTCAATATTAGAAATGACAACAAGAATTACCACCAGGAAAAAAAACAAATAAGACTGAAGTTCGTACAAGACAGTGATTTAATAAAAGCCGGGTCGGTACAGAATTGCTTGCTTTGACCGGGGAATCAGTCATCCCGTATCGGTTTTATGAATGTATAGGAAATCCTTTGGGTCTAGAAGAGAACCGGTGATTTACTACGGTGAAAATGTTGCTTCACCGATTCAAATATGTTCTTGGTTGATTCAATGTTTTTGCACATGTTTTTTCATAGGTTCACTATGAGTTAAACGGTGATCCATATCGGTTTTTGCAATGCCCGATCCTAGTCACCGATCAACCAACCCATTTTTTAAATCACTCGTATAAGATGTTAAACTCTAAACAATTACAATAAGGTATACTTTAAGATATTGTTAAAAGATGCATTTTCAGTTTTGAAACTCTTATGATGGTTTAAAAATCTATTTTTTACCCTTATTATAAAATTAAAATTTCTAAAGTGTAGATTTAACAGATCTATGAACTCTAAAATCTTGAGAAGAATTCATTATATAAAAAATAACAAGAATTATCAACGAGATTGAAAGAAGCATTGTCATTGTGTTTCAAAATCTATTTGTTATTTTTTTTAGAAGCTTAAAAAATGTAGATCTAAGAGATTTGTAAACATTTTTTTATCTTGATAATGGACTGTCTTATAAGATGTACTATTTTTAATACTTGAAATTTTTTTTTTTTTCCGTATCTATATATATTGAAGATCAATTGTAGGGTTTTTTAATGATGAAATAACCTTTTCCATAACTTTTCTCAACAAATAATTCGAATTTCAAATATAATAAATGCTAATGATGAAATAACATTTTCCCATAACTTTTCGCAACAAATAATTGAACTTTCAAATGATAATTAAAATGGAATAGGGAGTCAAAATGCATGTGCTATTTTGTGTCTCGTACACAGTGAGTTGATATCTCCAAAAGCAACATTTCGAACCCCAAAAACCACCCATTTTTAAACCCTAATCTTTGACTCATAATTCCTTCCACGTTTTGGCCCCACGATTTTCAATCATTTCCGAAGTTACCCTTCACCCTCTCCCTTCCACAGCATGAGGTCTACAGTCTACTGGTGCGACATTATGGAAAATGTTAGTGGCGTATACGGTATTATGTTATTGTCGTGCCCAACAGCCCAATATTAGGCCTGAAGGATTGAAAATTTGGAAAATAAGAAACGGAAAAAAATACGGAAATGGAAAAAACCAAAACGGAAGTTGCAGAGAGTTTAGAGTTAGGAAGTGAAACTGACGAGGAGCAACCATTTGCATGTGAACCTTTGTTTTCTCTCTCTAAATCCATGAGTTCCTATAAAAAGTTTTTTCTTTTTCCTTGGTTTCTTCACCCCTTTATTTGAATTCCAACACCATTACAGCAGGAGCGCAAGAATTGCCGGAAAACTTAGTTTTTCCCCTCACTTCCGCCATTGCAGCAACCATTTTTCTCTTTCTCTTTTTTTCCATTTGTTCCTGGTTCCTTTAGTCCTGAGAATTCGTTATTTTAGTTGGGTTTCTTCCAGTTTTCAAAATTTCCATTTGTTCTCTGTGTGAGTCCCAAAAATCTCTTTTTTGCTGTAGTTCAAATTTTCTGTTTGTTCTTCTCTCACTTTGTCCCAAAAATCTCTTGTTTCACCTTGGTTTTTCACCTGTAGTTCAAATTCTCTGTTTGTTCTTCTCTCTCTAACTCTCCCAAAGTCTCTTATCTCTGTAAATCCCCAAATTCTCTTCCCCCATTCAAATTTCATCACCATTGAAAGAGAGCAAAATGGACAGGCATTGGCTCCTTTCTCCTTTCAACCATTTTCACCTTCTCTTCCTCTTTCTGTACCTGTTTTTCTCGCTGGCAACTTCACTGAACAGAGATGGCCAAATTCTTTTGAGATTGAGAGCTTGTTTGAGTGATCCAAATGGAGTTTTTGCTTCTTGGGACGGAGCAAACGATACCCCATGTAACTGGACTGGCATTTCCTGTAACCCCATCACTTCGGCAGTGGAAGCCATTAATCTTGACAATCTCAATCTTTCGGGTGACTTTCCCGCCATGGCTTGCCAGATTCCGACGCTCAAGAACCTGTCCCTAGGTGACAACAACTTGGGCAATGGCATTTCTCAGAGAGACATCTCTCTCTGTTTTCGCCTCCATTACCTGAACTTGGGGTACAACATCTTTTCTGGCCCATTGCCTGAGTTCTTGCCGGAATTTGCAGAACTCCGGTGGCTGAACCTCTCTGGGTGCAACTTTTCAGGTGATATACCAGCGAGTTTCGGCCAGTTTCCTAGACTCCAGAACCTCACTCTAGGTAACAATCTTCTTAATGGCACAATTCCTCCATTTTTGACAAATCTTACAGATTTGATAGCTCTCGAAATCGGTTATAATCCCTTCACCCCAAGTCCATTGCCATTAGAGATCGGAAAGCTCGAGAAATTGCAGAACCTATGGGTTGCTACAGCTAATTTGATAGGAAAAATCCCTGAATCAATAGGAAAATTGGGTTCTCTCGCGAACTTGGATTTATCAGGTAATATGCTCACTGGCTCGATTCCGGAGAGTATTGGTGGCCTCAAAAGCGTTACCCAGATTGAGCTCTATGATAACCAACTATCTGGTTTTTTGCCTGTAAGTCTTGGAAATTTGAAGTCACTGAAAAATTTCGATGTCTCTTTTAACAATCTCTCTGGAAAGTGGCCTGAAGAATTCGCCAGAAATTCACTGGTTTCGATCAACCTTTACATGAACAATCTTGAAGGTCCAATACCTGAGGTTCTGGGTTTGAACACAGAACTGGAGAACCTCGTAATTTATGATAACAAGTTCTCTGGCCAACTTCCGGCCAATCTAGGCCGGAATTCTAACCTGGTAATGCTTGACGTTGCTAGAAACTTACTTGAAGGGAACCTCCCTCCTTATCTTTGTCGCCGGAATAAGCTTGAAATCCTAACAATCACAGGCAACAAATTTTCGGGACAGTTGCCGGAAAGTTACAGTCACTGTACTAGCTTAATTAGGGTTAGAATTGGGGATAACCCAATCACCGGCAATATTCCTTCTTCTTTTTGGGGTTTGCCTAGGGTTTTATTTTTGGACTTATCTAACATGAAACTCGAAGGTCCTATCTCCTCTGATATCGCAAAAGCTCGAAATCTCTCACACCTCAATGTTTCAGGCAATGGATTTTCTGGCAATTTGCCAGAAAGTCTATGTCTTTTACGAGAATTGGCAAAAGTCGACGCTGGTACCAACTCATTTTCAGGGCCTCTTCCTTATTGCTTAACCCAAATGAGAAATCTGCAGAGGCTGAATCTCACTGGAAATCGGTTCTCAGGTGAGATCCCGGCCAGTGTGGGATCTTGGGTGTCAATGGTGATGCTTGATTTGTCCAATAACAGTTTTAGTGGTTCGATTCCTCCGGAATTGGGTTATCTTCTATTGCTAAACTACCTCGACCTCTCGCTAAATTCATTTACTGGTTCTATACCAGAGGAACTGGGTAATCTTCCATTGAGGTTCTTCAATGTCTCTTATAACAATCTCTCTGGTAAAGTTCCTAAAGCCTTTGATGACACTGGTTTTCTCCATAGCTTAATTGGTAACTCCCATCTGTGCAGCCCTGATCTAAAGCCATTACCCACCTGTAAAAGACCAGGAAACATAAAACAACTCTGGTATTTAACTGCAATTTTAGTCATTTTGGCAATTTTAGCCTTCTCCTGTGTTCTCTGCTTGTATAGAAAGTACAGAGTTAGAATCCACCAAAGACCAGGGCTCCAGAACCACTCTTCATCGCCATGGCGAATAATCCCATTTCACCGTTTGTCGCTCAAAGAAGATGAGATCCTGAGCTCCATAGACGAGGCCAATTTGATAGGATCAGGAGGTTCAGGCAAAGTTTACAAAGCCAGGCTAAAATGCGGCGAGATTGTGGCCGTTAAAAGGCTATTTTTAACCGGAAAACAAGATTTCGACGGTGGATTTCAGGCCGAGGTCGAAACCTTAGGCAAAATTCGCCATAAAAACATCGTCAAGCTTCTGTGTTGCTTGTTCAAAAGTGATATGAAGATTCTGGTGTATGAATATATGGAGAATGGGAGTTTAGGTGCTCTGCTGCATGGCTCAAAGGGTGGTGAATTGGGGTGGGAAAAGAGGCTTGAAATAGCTGTGGGTTCGGCCTGTGGTCTCGCATATTTGCACCATGATTGTGAGCCCGCGGTGGTGCACAGAGATGTGAAGGCCAATAATATATTGTTGGGTGGGGATTATTCGGCACGTGTGGCGGACTTTGGATTGGCCAAGTTGCTGCCCAGGCGCTCGTGTGGGGATGGGAGCGAGATGTCTTCTGTTGCTGGGTCTTATGGGTATATAGCACCTGGTATGTTCCTATGTTTTCTCTCTCTTCTTTATCTCTCCTCTTTTTTCTATTAAGTTTTAATTTAATAGAAATGTACATGACACTTTTTAGTTTTTTTTATTTCTATATGGGATGGGTTTAAGGTCTATATAGATTTTTCTTCTTCTTTTTTTTTTCCATTAAAAGAAATGAACATGGCACTTTTAATTTTTTAAATATGAATTTTGTCTTTAGGAATAATTTGCTTCAATTCAAAATGCGATATTTATAAAATGGAAAAGCTTATGCCATGGCCGGTCCCTACCCGATCATGCCGGTCCCAAGTTTACGTAGGACAGCTAGCATAAAACTTTGTCACATCTTTTTATGAATCCTAAATAGATAATGATGATGACAACCTTTCTATGTATCTCCACACTCATTATTTATTCACGACTGGCTAATTGTAATTGGATTGTTCGGTTTGATGATAGTCAAAATTACCATACCTCTATTTTTATTAAAAGATTAAAAGTATTATGGTAAAAAAAAGAAGAAGGCGTTTCTTAGGGAGCAAGAAAGAAGGCATTGATCGACAGTTTTGTTCTTTCCTGAGAATTTGTGATGGTCTTTTACTGATGTTTAGAGATAGGTATTATCTCTTGTAACGTTTTGGTTGTGGATGTAGCTCTATAGAGTGAAGCACGTAAATTGTGTGGTGTTGTGTGATTTTTATGTTTGCTTTATTTCTTGCACTCGATTTATAGTTGTGTTGATCTACTTTGTATTTAGCCAATCATGTACAAGATCTTGAGTGGTATCCCGGTATTTGAGATTCCCGGTTCCGCAAGGTAAGGGTTCACGAGAACCCTATACGGACATCCAGAGTAACCCAAGAATAATTTTTGAAGATGGCACCAATTACTTTCGTTGGACTATATTTTACGTGCTACAATGTTGTTAGCCAAATCTGGCCGTCTGGTTATCTCCAAACAAATATGAAAGCTCGACCTTGAAATAGTTCTTTAAAAAAGCATTGTAAAGGAGAGGCTTTACCAATATTTTCTCTAGAAAGTGATAAGAATGTAGTATGCTAGAGCTTTGCAGGATATGAGCAAAGTCATTCTGTCTTCTCCTTTCCTTCTTACGATGTTAAGTTGATTACGCTTGTTTTGGCTTCGTGATTTAGATGATGTTTCAATCCTTGCTGTAATGGGCTAGTGTTCAGTATTTCAATAACGACCACATAAAAGTTCAAATCTTTTGCAAATTAATTTTGGCCTATACTTTATGTATTATTATACAGAGTATGGGTACACTCTGAAGGTCAATGAGAAGAGTGACATATACAGTTTTGGAGTGATGCTACTTGAATTGGTAACTGGAAGGCAGCCAATTGACTCTTCATTTGGTGAGAATCGAGACGTAGTGAAGTGGGTTAACGATGCAGCTTGTAGCGGAGCCCTCGATGAAGTTCACGACTCAAGATTCACATCACCAACACCATTACAGAAGATGCAGATGGAGAATGTATTGAGCTTGGCACTTCTGTGCACGTCCCCCGTTCCCAATAGCCGGCCCTCCATGAGAAGAGTCCTCCAAGTTTTGAAGGATGTTCAATGGCATCCTTTTAACACAGCCAAGGGATTCTCTTCTCACAACATCTCCTAAAATTTGCATGTACTTGCCTAATTCATGGGGAGCAATTTTTTCTCATTCATCTTTGCTTGTCCCTCTTCTGAACTCTCTCTTTTGAAAATTTGACAGTAACATGCATAAGAGATGAACTTTTCAACATTTTACGACCATTTGAGCACAGGACCGTGTGTTTTTCTATGGGTATTTTGAAGTTAAATTAAACATATGGCTGAAGTGTTAAAAATTGTTCATCTCTTATGGATGATCTGATCTATATCTCTTGAAAAAATTTTCTTTTTCACTTTGGACATGAATACTTCTACTTTATGTGCCATATATGAAATGCTTTCTTTTTCAATGTTTACTGCATTTAGTGGAGCTCTTGTTCATTCATTGTTCCTTCTTTATTTTATTTGATTTATGTTGCTATTGAGGAGGCAATGTTTTCATCATCTTTTCCATTACTTGGCCAATTAGAGCAGAATTTGGAGGTGCAACTAGGGACAGTGACAGTAAATGCAATACTCAGTTATCATACATATGTAGAGAATTTAGATCTTCGAGCTGCACATGTATCTGAAAATTTAAAAAGCTGACTTAGAAATAGGTATTCTTCTCTTCTTAACGTAAATCCAAAGTGAAAAAACAATTCTACTGTATTTTCAGAGTTGACAACTTAAAATGCATATTAGGAAGTGATCATAGGATTTCAATAATAGCAATTGGTTTTTGGGTTTAAAACCATGGCTGAGCCTAAACCCATGGATCCAAGTCTCTGAGACCACTACCTTGCTCTCTCAAATCGACTTGGGTTAAGCTAAAAAAATGCTCCGTCTCTGTCAATTTTAGTAGATTGTAGAGCAAGCAAATTGAGCTTGTTTTGAAGTTCCAAATCCATTATTGTGTGAAAGAGAATAAATTTCAGTAGTTTTACATCATTTTCAAGCAAGTAATCTTAGAAACAAGATGGAGTTCGAGATGCAATTGAAACGACCCTTATATATGCAGTTACTTTCAGAGAGAGATGTTTTCCAACGATAAACATAATCATCTGTTTTTTTCTCTTTTGGGAAAATTCACAATCTCTTTATTTCATTTTCATAAAGGAACAATTACAGAATCAACATATAACAAAATTACAATCTGAACTACCCTTTATTCATTTCCCTCAAATACTGTTTCCCTTCAATAAAAGTTTATTCTACAGAACAATCCTCTTGTTAGTTCCCTACAACTCTTAGACCCACATCCCCTTGTTTTTGCTAAACAATCTGCTTCGTGATTTACAGCTCTTAGACCACATACCCTTGTTTTTGCTAAACAATCTGCTTCGTGATTTCCTTCTAGCAGCATTTTAAAACTCGGCCCAAGTCAATCAAACTCGGCCCAAGCAAATCGGACTCGGCCGAGTAACTCGCCTTGGCCCATGGGCAAACAGAGTTTGGGCCGAGTTAGTTGTGCACAACAGTTTGGAGCTTTAAGAATAATATTACTACAAATTTTTAACTCAAATGTTGGAATTGTCTATTGGGTATAGCTCCCGAGTAAAGTTCCCCCTATGAGGATTTGAATCCCGCACCCATTACCCTTTTTTTTAACCTATCATTTTTAAAAACAAAAATAAAGTTTGCTGCCCTCTAAGAATCTAGCGCAAGACCTCATATAAAGAAGTCCTTTAACATAAGGTGCTATAACCAAAATGCCAACCTTTGTTTTGTTGATAAAAAAAAAGCACTCGTGTATATATATATATATATATATAACCATTATTTTCTTCATTTCTTTTAAAAAAATTGAGATGGACTCGGTCGAGTTTCTCGGACTCGCCTGAGTAACTCGCCTCGGCCAGGTCGCGAGCACCTTGGCTGAGTCGATTTTTTTAACATTGCCTTGAAGATAACATTCTTATCCTCATAAAAATCCATTACCTCATTAGGGAAAAGCTTTCCCCACCATGATAAACCATACACATATTTGCTTATCATCCATTATGTATGTTTTTTAAATTGATCACAAGGTGAACCAAAGATATCTTGAAAAATTTTAGCCAGTCAAAACTCCCATGTAATGAACACTCTTGCTGATCATCCTTTTGCAAGCTAGAAAGAATAGCAATTAAGTGGAAAGGGCATCAGTGGATAAAAAATAAAAATTCTAGTTCTCTTGTCACTTTATAAACATTCATCACTCTATCATAAGAACAACAGGTGTTTCAGATTGGTTATCCTCATAGTCATAATACAATACAATTTATCGAAGAAAGGGATAATATGTTGGTAATTTATAGATTTGATCAATGTGTGTAATAAGTGTAGCAACCTAGACAACATGATAAATTTTATTTATTTATGGTTATTCAAAAGGAATAATTTTTTTAAATATCAATATCTAGTTTTATCTAGGGTCCGAAAGGTTCGAGAACGGGGTTCACTGGAGCAGAGGAGATAGGAAATTGGAAATTGGTTTATTTATGTGATATCAAGAAGGCGGGAGTCTAACCATAAAAGTAAGAAAGAATGAAGTTTAACTTTAGGGAAAAAACAAAAAAGATGCATAATATCTAGAAAATGGGATTTTATATAATGAGACCATTTATCTTTATCACAAAAGGGTCACAATTACTATCTATCCGGTCTGAAATCTAATAGCTTGTGTGTGTCACAAAGCTTGAGAAAATTTCTTTTGAAGTTTGAGCTTGGTCAGTGGAATAAATGCAACCATCCAATTTCTCATCAAAGGGCCAAGATTAATTGTGATCACCTTGTTCCAAAGGTAAATATTCTTATACTTTTCCATAAAAAATACGTTAACTCTTTAAAAGACAATGCCTTATAAATAATGGCGTACTACCATTGCAAAGGTTATTATTTTTATTTTCATGCAAAGACTCATAACATAGAAAAAGTTAACAATAGAAAAACTAATAATTACAACGTAGCCAAAATAGAGAAAAATTGTAAATAAAATTCCATCTATAATTTATTAAAAATTATAAATGGCAATTTTATAGATAACATATTGCAAAAATAAGACTATATATCCAAAATTTCCATATTACAAAATTAGCAAAAATAAGACAATATATCCAAAATTTCTTATGCATAAACCTTAATTTTATACATCAATTTTACTTCTCCAGTCTTCTTTTTCTCAATAGTACGATTTAAGAGCACTTCGCCATTTCACATTTCATATTAGGATACCGATTTATTTTTGGCAGCTCGGCAGGATGATTTGAGCTTGATACGTGATGTTGCAATCATAAACACCTCAACCAATCAATTCCGAGTCAAACCCTAAAAAAATCCCTTATTGGGATCGTATATAATGAGACAATTTACTTTTTGTACGACAAAGTCACGAATACTTTCAACCATCTGATATAAAATGTGATAGCTTACGTGTGTCACAAAGTTCGAAAATTTTTTTTTTTGAATTTTGAGCTTGGTGAATGAAATAAACGCAACCACCCAATTTTACATCCAATAAAAAATGAGAGAAATTTATGGTTTATGCAACGTTTTAAAACCCGGATAGGCCAGGTGAACTGCCCATTTGGGAAACCGGTATTGATAAGCGAGTTGACCCATTCTCCTAGGTGTGAATCAATCAATTAAAGCCAAAAAAATTGAAACAAAGTAAACAGAGAAATAATAATTTAAAAGGTGTGGCTTGCATAGGATTGTAATCTTAAACAATCAAAATAAAGTGCACCACCAAATTTTATCATAAGACGTAATGTTGGTGTAAAAAATTCTTATGATGTCTTGAGAATCCATTTTCATCATTAATCATAAAATTTTAGCACCCAAAATTCCTCAAATCAAGTAGAACAATAAACATATGAAAATTTTGAAAATGGACGGTCTATATAACATGTTATAAAATGCACTATTTTTGGGACTCAATTTTTTTTTTAAAAAAATATTCATATATCTCGATGTCGTCATGATCAATTAGATGATTTTCCAACTTCAAAATAGTCTTTATGATATTTTTTCAGATGCACCGTAATTCTACATTTTAAACTTGCATTATTATATAAGCACTTTTCTAATTAAAAATATAAATTATGGGGCCCGGTTCCAAATTTCCTGAGGGAAATGATTCTGTGGGAACATGCATGAATCCTGAATTTAATTGAGAACCGGGTTAGTTCCCATCGATTTCCAATTTGGATCGTCGATTACCCATCCATATTGATAGGTTTTGAATCACTAGGTTTTTTATAAAATTGCTACTTCATTAAATTTATATGAACAATATATTTTTTTGATAAAATGTTAATATTCTTATTAATGCTCTTGGAACGTTATCAGAGATAACAAGAGAAGATAAAGAGGCAACTCCTTAGGCCAGACAGTCCACCACCGAGTTTGCTTCTCCATAAATATGAGTGAATGAGACCGAAATGGTAGAAGACAAATCCATGATGCGTAGACAGAGAGATTTAAGTTTCCAAGGAATAAGTTGTTCTTTATTACACTACTTAACCACATTAAGAGAGTCCCCCTCTATCCAGCATGATTGGTCGTAGTTTCTCACTCTAAAAATCTTCAAACCTTGATAGAGCGCAAGCAGTTCAGCGAGGTTTGCCGTTGCATGCCCTATCGGCGCAGCATATGAAAAGAGGGTATTACCATCACAGTCTCTCAGAATGCCACCAATACCAGCTATCCCTGGATTACCAAGAGAAGTTCCATCAAACTTGAGTTTCAACGTACCCAAAGGAGGCAGACACTATCCACAGGCTTTCAAGTCTAGACCTAATGGCACTCAACTGAAAAAGATTGTTGAGGTTACCAAAAAAATCAATCTTAGTTGCACCCCATCCCACTTTTGAGACAGAAAGCCACAACCAAATCAAACACTTAATCAATGAATCAGACAATCCAAAGGTAGAGAAACTCCTTCGAAAGTTCTCATGTTCCTCTCTTTCCAAACCTCCCAAAGAATAACTCCTTTGGCAATCTTCCACAAAACTTACCAACCTCCAGCATATGGGGTAAAGAGAGTTGAGTAACAATACGCTCCACCGTCCGAGGTAGAGCCAAACTAATATTGACCACCCCAAACAACCAATACCAAATTTGGACTGTAAAAGGGCAATGTATGAAGAGTTGCGTACCAGATTCAACATCAGCTTTACATAGCAAACAAACATTTGGTAGAATCTTAACCATTGTAATCAGATTGTCAATAGTTAAGACTTTGTTCATGGCAGCCAGCTAAATAAAGACTTACACTTTGTGGGTATGGGCCATATCCAAATTTGAGAAATCTAAGGGCAAGAACATCTCCACCGATCATGAAAAAGAAGATTGTAGCAATATTTGATCGTGACTAAACCATC